AAAAACTTGGCAATATCTTGGTCTGAGGATTGCCAAGGAAGACCTCTTGCACGAACAACACAACTGTTGTCTACCTCCTCATTTTTTGAGCTGAAAAAAAAAAACAAAATATGTCAAATTATTTGTAAATGTTTCCTTGAAAACTCTAAAATGCTAAAGAAAATACTCTGATCTAAGAAGAATGAAGTAAATGAGTAATTTATGATATTATACAATGAATATTTTGCCACTGCTACACCTGACACAATATTATTCAGGGAGTGAAATCAAAGTTACAGTGGATTGAGCATTCACTTGAATGTATTAAACAAGCAACATACATGAAGAGTGATTCAGGAAACCTATTTTACATATGGAAGCAAAGTTCAAGAATGAGAGAGATATGACACTAACTACAAATCATGAGATTTTTTAGGTATTTTAATTCAATGAATATGGACTGATGATGGCATTGACACTTTTCACAGGTACCAGCATTTTACAAAATTTGCTAGACTGCTATCAAAGTTTTAATATTCATGGCAACTGACAATGGGCACAACAGTAGCTCACATTTATTTAAAATTATGCATTTTCATGGAATAACCATTACAGAATATGCTGAAAGACTTGTAGTAAACAAGTTTTATGAGCTTGTATTGGTCAGTTTTATATATAAGTTCTGGGAAGAAGTTCCAATGTTTACTATCCTTTCTAAGAATCAGCCTGTGTTACAAGGGTAGTGGAATAACATGTTATATTCTTAGGTGTTCAGGCAAGAAAATGTGCATCAAATGCCTTAATTGAATCAGTTAAGGTACAATCATCCCTGTGCTTAATCAATTAAACAACATGCCATGAAGAGGAATGGGAGAGTGGCAATATAGCTTCAGTATTCTTAACCTCAGCACTAGATAGAGGTGAGTAGTCAGCTTCATGTCCCTGCTAAATTGCTCCAGGATAGGAGCCACCAATACCGACTGTATAGGGGGATGGGTTGGCCCCGAAGGTGGTCAGGGCATGTGGACTGGAGAAGATTGTCTTACACCACTAAGAGGAAACAAAATCTGAATCCTCAGTCATTGTGCCCATAGAATGGTCACTATATTGACTGATTTGTCTTAGTTCCTAACTGTTGATTACAGTAACAACATGTCAGACAACCTTTGATAAAAATTTGATAGCAAACCAAGAAATGTTCTGCTCTTGCTGCAAGCAGTACTACAGGCTCTTGTTCACAGAAGCCTGCCATTTAACCCCAAGCTGAGGCATTTGAATGCAGTTCACCTCTTCATGCCAAAAGCACTCTTTGGCAAGACAAGGCAAGGCAAGTAATTGTGTCCATGTGCCTGAGCTCCATGTTCTAAATGTGTATAGGAGGTGCAGAGGTAAAGCTCAACTCTTTCTTAACCTCAACACTTTATGAATATGATTGAACAGGTTCAAGTTCTGGGCATTTTACCCTAGGAGAAAGAAGGCTCATTACTCATTGCAGAGGAGGCTCATGCTGTCCCGATATTGACAGAAACCCTGGCTTTGCTGAGAACTTAACTAAGGTAGTTCAGCCTATAGGTAATAACTATATTGCTTGAGCTATGCAAACTCACAACATATCTGTGCCACCACTAGGACTGCCGTTCTCATTCTCGAGGTTTTCAATAGCAATAAGCTATTTATTTGAATTAGAGGACAAAATCTTCAGAACGTTATGGTATCATGCCAGACGCTTAGCACGTAACACAACTGAGACTGAGAGTCTGTGACTGATTAATTCTCAGTTTAATTAACGATATTTTCATTTGTGCTGGTTATATAACGCCTATGTTGGGATGATTGTGAATGACTGATTCTACTGAATATTGAAGGCCATGTCCGTTTGGACGCGGCCTATTTTAAAATAGTCTACTTTGCCAGCGGCCACTTGGGAGAACTGGCGAAAACCTCGTTAGGACAAGCCGGTTGCGGGGCCGAGAAACGATAACGCAGCAAAGCAGTAATTCTTATAAATATGACACCATT